GGTATCAAACGGATATTAAAAATACAGACTTTAACCCACAGAGTAATAAGAATATTATAAGAATATTCTTATTACCTACTCTATGCCTTAATCTCGTGTACCCGTGTAATCGAATACCCATTCATGACCGCCGCAAAATGTACTAGAAAGTTGATTTCGGAGGAAAACATTAGATCTTTTGACTTCACTTATTAAATATAAAATTGCATTTAATTAGTCACTAGTTAAAGACTGATTTGATAATGTGGGTTTAAAAACCAGTACGCGAAGCCGCTGTGCAGTTGTTGAGTCATGATAAAGCTTTTAACAACAAGCTAAATAGTTCGAGTTTATAGTGTGTTATATGTTTTACACTGAATAAATTTGTTTCAGATATTTTTGTTCAAAATTACCGATACTCTATGTAAGATTTGAAATAAATGTTTTCTATTAGATTCATTAGTCCTATTAGGGATATTATTTCACTTAGTTGCGTCTTAAAATTGAAATAAACATATTATTATATTTTTATATAAATAAAATAAAATTCATATTTCATAATATAAACAGTCAATTACTAATATTTTACTTAAATTAAAGCATAATATTAATATAAATATATATACACTTTATTTTAGCTAATGTTATATTATTCAAAAATCGAAACTTTTTTGAAATGTTAACATACAAGAAAGTAAACATTTCAAATTCGATTGAGTGTCACAAAACAATTTTTTCATACTCCAACAGTTAATTGATAATAAATGGGCTATGATCGTATGGAAGAAAAGTTTGAAGCATCATTAATAATAGAATAAGAGGTTTAACTAACAATTTACAAAAAAGTGGAACAAGTAGGAATTTAGAGAAATTCCAGTTAAAAAAAAAAAAAAAGTTGGCTCCATTTAAATTATCATGTATCTAGAGAAAATTATAATTTACTACGACCTTCAACATAGCATTGGTCGTCCAAATAAATTATTTTCCGAATCTTGGGAACGTTCTAAGAGAAGAAAGGAGAAATATTTAGCATCTGGAAGCACAAATGTCTAGAAATGACTTGTAGTAGACTGCATAAGTCAGAAAAATAATAACAGTATTACTATTGCAGTACTACTATTAAAAAAGCTACTACATTATCACCAAAACCATACGCAGAGTATAAAAAGCATATAAAACAGAAAAAAAAATAGAAAAATACACAGCCGAAGACTGTTTAACTATTTTAATTGAAAATATAGTGACCGTAAAACTATATACAAACATTCGGTTAGCTGCAAAAAATAAATAGTGTGAATATTTTTCCGATTTATGTTCATGTATTAAAAGCGAAAAAATAATGTTACACAAATAGTATTATTGTTGCAGAAAAATCATGTGAAAATTCTGATAAGTTCTGATATCACGGGTGTTGATAATGATCTCATAAAACGATTAGGAAATATTTTATCTGTTAATTCTAGTTGTTACCAGATTTAAAACGTATACTGTAGATACGACAAAATTATTTAATCTAACCGATTTTATGTGAAATAGAAACCGATAAAGAAAAAAAATTATCTGACCAATAAAAGGAATCTAAAACAGACAGTGACACATTTAGTAACACTTCCATATAGTGGCGTATTCAAGATTCATTTAACGGGGGTGTTTTAAAATTTAATAGACTTATGGTAAGTGGGAGGCTCTGCCCCCCTCTTATATTAAATAAATAAATACCATGTATTTATATAAATTATTATACTAATGAAAATAATTATATTAAGACAGTGTATGTAAAATCAACAAGTTGTATACAACGTTTTTTCAAATTATACTGTAAGTTTGTAATTTAATGAAATACCATTGAATATGTTCGATGGGAGGTGTTCTAACACCCATACCCCCCTCTAAATACGCCCCTGCTTCCACATAATCAACAAATACAAAACAACAAGCGCCTAAATAACAATTTAACTGAATGTAATTTAAATTAAAATGTTTAATATTTAAAAAATAAACAAAATTTAATCATACTTTTTAACCCTCAAAATTAAATTAAATCATACGAATCATCGGAATTCAAAAATCGATTTAAGGAGTTTATAAATGCTCAACGTAAAAACCTAAATTATAATTTAACTAAGCGTCCAAAAAATACAATTATTTTAGGAATAAATAATTTTGTCCGCCTAAATCAACTTTCTAGAACACCACTAAGCTTAAGGCGTGTATTTGAAACCAGCAAGAAGTATGAATACGTATACCTGTCTGCAACTCATTTGCGGAATTACTGTATTACATACGTCATTATGGTGCATATTCACAAGTATTATAATAATTAGTGCGGGGCAGAAAGACCGAGTCAGCAAAAGCTGTACGAAAGGCAACCAAACCATTCGTGTCAAATAAGACACGCATCATTAGCACACATTTCAGATACGGTTCACAGACAATCGCGAAATATTTTCGCTAATTTAGATGTGCGTACACTGTGCGATTAGAAAATCAATGATACTATGAAAAAGTGCTTACGGATACTCGACGTTTGCATACATTTTTATTTTATTTTTTCTCTTTTTCTGATTGTAATACCCTATTTATCGGTTGTTAATATTTAATTACTATTAATTCGTAACGATTTATAGGTACTAAAATACACCGATAACAAAGGGGAAAGGTCGCGTGCAATATTATATTATGTAAATGATGGTCGGTTAATGCGTTACAGTACTTTAATGATACTATTTATTGAACGTATTACAATTATTTAAGATTTTTTATACAAAAAAAGCATATGTCCAAGGGTAAAACGGTTTGTATACGTACATATGTGTAAAAATGTATTAATATCTGTCACCCATGCGCAGTGTTTTCATCAGACCCCGTTATTATAATGAAACGGCGGTGGAGAAACGTCCACGTAAAATTACATATTTTTAAGATCATTTTTTTTTCGTACGCGCAAACACATAGGTACGCGTCGGAACACAATTATCATACAATTAAATCCTAATATAACTAAAAATAATATATAAAAGAAGTTATAAAAATAATAATAATTATTAGTAAAGTAGTTATACCTACACGTGTACGCGTACAATTAAGTAGAACTTTATTCGTAAACGCAAATGACATTCATATTTTTAATTCATTATTGGGATATTTAGATGTGTTTTTAAATAATAACTCTTTTGATTCTTTTTTTTTCCAAAGTCGATTACTTACCGATTACAACACGTGCATGCGCGTATAGGAGGAAATAAATATATTTATTTGTGATCCGGAACAACAATATTCTTACTGGCATAGAATTTAAAATGGAATTGGTAATAATTACAACAATACTATACAGCGTGCGTATATTTAACTAAACAGTGATCGGAAACCCTAAATTCGTGATTAGGATTTGCTAATCAATATATTATTATGCACAATGGAACAATATATTAGTGTGATATAGTTTTATGCGGAGATAATGAAAAAACGAGTGTACACAACAATAATTCTAACATAGACAGCACACTGCTTCAACGTCTTATGATACCATAAATATACTATTAATTAAATAAAAATCAATCCATAGTCGTTTTCCTATTTTTATTATTATCGCGTAGCTTCGAGTTCCAAGGTAATTGACTATAATAGTTATTTTAACGGTGTTGTATTAACTACGCATATTGGATTTTATCGACTACCCGAAAATAAAAAAGCTTGAACACATTTATTACTGCCACCCTCGAATAATGGTGATTTTGTTTAAAAGCTGAACGGACGTGTTTCGAGTACATATCTCTCCCTCACTCCATTACCACCCCCTTCCATCGATCGGAACTGAGTTCTAGGGTCGTGTACGTATCTGGTTTCTACCAGACAGTAAAAAGCGAAAGATTCAACGCACCGTCGCCGCAGTCGTTTTCAACAAATAACTAACCCACTGGTAGAATTTAGACGCAATAACAATTATTGTTGCGTAGCTGTTTGGTCGTCTTTTACTACGCGACCAAAACATTTCGATAACCATGAACGCATTAAGCACAGACGTGTGCACGGGGGTTCCGAGTATGCGCGGGCACCTCCAAAATGTAAATAGGACTCTACAGTTTAAGTCCAAGAGTAAGGAGCCCGTGTTTCGACTGATGATGCTCAAATTAAATGTAATTTATTCTGAAAAATACCTAAATGATGTTCCGCAACAGGAAAAATAAAAAAAAACATTCTAAATTGTCGTGCAAAATTTTGTTTTGGAAATATAGCAGCTACGATTGACTAAAAATCATAAACAATCGAAACTGTCCGTGAGAATTATGCGAGATCCAAGAAAAATGTTTCATTCGTCGGAACTACGACGATATTAAATAAAAAATGAAAGTTATGTTCATTTGTACATTATCATTTTTTTTTTTTAATAACTTTTATTTTAGATGGGATCCAAAAGTATTAAAGGCACCCCGCTCCCCCTGAAAGACAGGTGTGCGCACCCCTACGCGTGTAAGAAATACATAAAATCGAGTCGCGGAAAAACAGCGAGCCGCGTGCGCCGCATCCAAAAGTTGTTCGTTTTACACGTTCGAATAAGACATCATTCGCGCCGACCGTGCCACACGCCCGTTTCTAAAAACCGCAACTGTCCAACCGATAACCGTCATCGTCAAAAACCGAAGGAAAAATAATTTTTTCAACCCAAATTCGGTACAGTTCCACGATGAGTACTAAATAGACGAGCAGTAACAGTTTTCCTGAAGCGTTCGGGTGTTAACGTAACCTAATCCAACAATTTTATGTATCCTAGTGTTAAATTGTATAACGCAAAAACTCTCCAGACCTGTGCAGGTTTTTAATACGAGAGCTTGGCCGTTCCTACGTGCATACTCGACCGTAGTTATACAACCCCCGCGCACCTTAAATGCAAAAACGTCCAACGGAATGGGCATTTTCTCGACTGACGGTTATCGCCGATCACGGTGCAATCAGGCTAAAATGATCACGAAAACATTCCGGCATACCGAACATAACATAACAGAATCGATTTTTTGATTTACCTTTGATGTCGGAGATAGGTACGTGTATTGTATATCGCGTACGTTTCGCGTATTCGTGCGATCGGCTTCGAACACTTTTCCGCGCTGTCAAAACGTTTATGTGCTACTCGCAACCCACGCCGGTCCGTGAAATGCCGTTTTATAGATTAACGAACGATTGTAATATTGATTAATGAAGTGTATACAATGAGTTTTCTATCGTTCACACGTTTATATACGAATACATACACGCACGTACGCACGCTGCACGCACACGGGCACGCATCATTGGTCGTGTGTTACCAATAGGAATCGGTGAACTTTGAGTTGTGCTTACATTGTTGTAATTTTGTATATTTATATAAACTTGTATAAAAACGATGTCACCGCGATGTACATAGTACACTACCCACAAAGTACTTTCTGTATTAAATACATGTTATACACATAAATATACCGATAAAAGCGCAAAAATAATTTGTACACACACACATATGTTTACCTATATCATCATATCCTCAGTGTATATTTTTGTTTTTCATAGGTCTTTATTACTGCATATTGCATTAATTAATTGTTATTAATCTAATTTGAATATTCGTGGGTTAATACCCCATTCGCCCCTTCAAATACGCCCTTGCACCAGAAACACTAACTGATTTGGAAATATGTTATCTACGATGAAAATTGTTATTCTTTTAGGTTTTTTTTTTTTAAACAATTTTAAAACCCGTCGACATGAATAAATTACAAACCAACATATGAGCTTTTGGAGGACAAAATATCCAACGTTCGAGTTGCGGTTATCCGTCGTATGTTGAAAATGATCAGTAACTGAAATTCACTGGTGTTTGCACTCGCAAAAAAAAAAAAAACCGTTATAGTTTTCGCTCAACACAAATTTTCAAGACGTACGTAACGGAAATTGATTTAAAATTAAAACAGGTCTCGAACTTTGAAGCTTACCTACCATACGTTTAACGGAAAGCTCCGATTGATCGGCACGTTATCATTACAACGTATGTGTCATTATAACAATCAATATAATGCACGACTTTCTCTTTCACCATAGGTTGTTGGATTTATCGATAACACATAGTTTTAACCGGTTGTTTCCTACGAAAGTACGCCCGCAAATCGCGGTTTCTATTGTTTTGTCAAAGTTAGCGAAGCCGAAAAAGTACTACTGCCCACAAGTTGGAAGTAAATATAGTAGAAAGTATATGTGTAAATAAAAATTAAAAATGCCTTACAAAATGTTATAGAATAAGTTATAAATTATTTAAGGCGAACAAAACCCATTGTTTTAACGACTACTCCAGTGATTAGCATGTGTTTCAGTATACTAAAAGTATAGAAAATCGTGTGGATGTATCGATCCATTTTTGATATCGCATTTGATTTCATACATAAAACGCGGTCTAACGTCTTTCTAAAAATTGGGTACATTTGAAAAAATATAAGAGCTTGAATTTATCAATGAAGACGAATTCCATCATCGTTTCGTTTTAAATTGTACACTGAACGTTTATAACAATACTATTTACGTATTGCGTGGTTAAAATACTCGATTCGGATAAATATCAAAGGTTGATTAGAGATTTCAATCAGTCAAATATCTTCAAAGATTGCATGGTGGATCCGAGGAAGTAACGAAACATTTCCACACCTATTGGTAATCTTCATGTCCATTAATGTTCTTAAACTACATAATTGCATCTTCTCGACCGTTAAACTTTTGACCTGTTTAAATGTATACAGTTTCGTCCACGGCAAGTACACCCATCATCAGTAATTAATTCGTATACATTACAATTGTCATAAATCATGATCGGCTATTATTACAATAATGTACGTCGATGTTAAGTAATTTGAATTCGGAGTTTTTGTTTACACTGCATGATTTCCGACACGCGCGTATACTATTAAAATAAAATTATCAAGGGGTAATAGGGGCAAAGGTCACTTTGATTCGTTTCCTTTTAAACCCGCCACTGCCACGCGATATTCTTTCTTCGCTCCTCTCGGTGGCTGCTGGCCAAAGGTTATCAAATGCATTTTACTTATTACGACTTAATGTGTTTGCAGGTCTATTAGTTTTTTTTTATTTGAACGTCATTAATAAGACGCCTTCGCCACTTAATGTTTGCTATTAAACATGGAATAGGTGTTTTAAATTTTAAACATCAACAAATCTAATAACAGTTATGTGTCTAAATCAAAACGTTGCATAATTATATAATTAACTATATACCCATAAACTAGCTACGGCAGTATATTATTATATAGCGAACTGTAAAGGTTACGAACATCATAGTAATAGTAAAGTACCTATGTTTAATATTAGATCGAAACATGCAAAATCACTATTATTTTATTTCTTCATTATTACTATTTCAATTCAAACACTCATCAGGTTATTTTACTATTATTATGGTGTAATTAGATGAAATAATTACTATCGAAAAAAAAATAAAAAAAATAACATTACGCGCGTAATTATCGATTTAATGTTAGCAACTGTATTAAAATTATATCAGGTCATTTTGGTAATATGATATGACCTAAAAGAACGTTAGTGAGAATATTTTATCCATATATTACAGTTAAAATCACAAAATTTATTTTGATTGTAGTTTAAACTGAAATTCACAAAGACCTCAAAGTTGGGATTAGTTTTGAACTTTTTTCAGACCAAGTTTTATCTGAAATGTAAGTGTTAAGATAAAAATGTTTATCGATGTTCAAATTTGGAGAAAAATTAGTGTCTTGAAATTGACGGAGCGAATTATCGTAGAATTTAGAATTACCTAAAATATTTTTTTCGTCACATAATCTACAATTTGATACACATGAACCACACAAAGCCATTCAGTCCTTTGATGGAAGTGCGAAGTTAAGACACATTTTACACAGCGACGAAATAAACGAAAGACTAATCACGACCGGTTTAAATGGCAATAATGCACGATACTCGGTCATCATATAATATAACTATCGTTATTATTAGATATGTTTAATATGATTCTATTGTCGGCCGGTCAAAATAGGATTAATTTTTTTTCGAGTCGTGATAATACGGCCATTTGGGCAATACATGGAATAATCCTAGTTTGTTCTAGTCATAACTAATTAATATCAGTTTTTGACATGGCCATGAAGTTAGCCCCCCCCCCCTTTGACCGATTCACTTCAAACCAAATTATTTTGATTCAATTGTTATGCAATTGTTTAACATCGATAACTGGAGTTTTCAGTTAATTTATATTAATTCATTATTTTGCTTAAAATAATAATTGTGAACTATACTTAATTCTACACAACAATACATAGCATTAATAATTCTGTATATATTTTTACATAATTTTACATCGGGCTATTTTTAATTATTGTACATTTTTATTTCATATCATTCAAAATATTTTCATTTATTATTTTATCTCCAGAAGAACATGACTTGGTCTATTTGACTATTTGATTGTTAAATGTTTAAATTTGTTAAATTTGTTTAAATATCATTATATCACTGCAGATTAATTTTAAAAATGGAAACCGTAAAACTAAGTGGAATACTGCAATTTGGTATTGATAATAAGTAATAAATCTTTTAGTTTATTGTTATCGTCATTATTCGTCCGTTATCACTTTTTAATATAGTGGGTGTCCCAAAAAGGGTAAATATATTCAATAAAACATTAACAACTGCTTCGGCAGTTTTGTAAGTAATTTAACATAATTCCAGTTAAATGCATTAATTGTATATTTATTTATCATTATTATTAAATTGTTTTATTACTCTTATAGATACATTATTTCAATTAATTATTTCTAAAAAACCTTTTTGATCATTATAATTTAATTTTTATGAAAATAATTAATATAAATTTTAACAATATATAATACAAATACAATTTTACCTACACTATAATTTTGATTTGCAAATTCTAAAAATTAATTTGCAATTAATTTGCTAAATATTGACGTCGGTTTGGAATATATCGAACAAATTGGGGGGGCTGAATGAAGTTAGCCCTCCCAAACCTATTTTTTAATTTGTGACTTTGCACTTGATTTGCAAATTCTAAAAATGAATTTGCAATTATTTGCAATTAATTTGCTAAATATTGGCGGTGGTCTGAAGTGAATCGGTCAAAGTGGGGGGGGCTAACTTCATGACCATGTTTTTGACAAATTTCGAATTTTAACTACGACATAGCTACACACGCTTATTGTGATAGTATTTAATAACATTTATTTTCAACCGATCTGAAAATAATATGAACGGCACAGAGATTCGAAACTCATTATGTTGAATGTCTAATGTAGTTACTAGACTTTAGTATGTAATAAAAAGGCGCAACAGTTAGGGCAAAGGATACATAAATTATATAACGTAAGCATAACTGTAAAATATCGTACATATTATGAATAAGGTAATCAACGGCGGACACGTATATCTTGGTACAAACCTCGAGTTTTTTCTCTGAATACGTTACATACCTCCTTTGTAAAAAGAAAAAAAAAAGCTATAACACCCTAAACACGAACCTCGAATCATGGGCGTCGATGAGAAACTGAAAGAACATCTTATACAATAATTGCCAACAAAAATCGCTACGATTTATATAATTTTCAAAATTCAGCAGTATGCTTATATCAGATATATTGAAGTACCGATGTAACTTGAAATATCTACAAATATTTTGGGTAGATTTAGAATAATTTTTTTTATTATTCAGATAACATAAAAAAACGCTCATTAATGCAAAAACGATGTCACACACCAAATTGTATGAGAATTTTGCAAGAAATATCATATTTTACAGATTATAATGAATTTTTTATTATTTATTATTTATTATTTGTATGTATTTTCTGAACGTATTTAATTTTACATTTAATTTATCATTTCAAAAATAAGTTGATAAAACTCAGGTTTAGGCTACGAACATTTTTTTTCTCTCTAAAATTTCGTCGAGTACTTACGCTGGACTTATATAGTTTCTTCGTTAATTTCTTAATCACATTTCAGGACAGTCGGTATTTGCGTTAAACGAATAAAAAACAAATTCAAAACTTATTTAAATTTTTTTTTACATTTATTTGTTAACAGACGATGCCAACACAGCGGCACCTTTTCCACTACCATCTTCAGAAAGCATTATATCAAATTTAATACCGGGATTCACCAATTCGTTTAC